GGTTTATGGGTATATAACCAAAGCAGAAGGAGAAGGTTTATGGGTATATAACCAAAGCAGAAGGAGAAGGTTTATGGGTATATAACCACAGCAGGAGGAGAACGAGAAGGTATATGGATAGATAGCCAAAGCAGGAGGAGAAGGAGAAGGTGTATGGGTATATAACCAAAGCAGGTGGAGAACAGGAGGGTTTACAGGTAGATAACCAAAGCAGGGGGAGAACAGGAGAGTTTACAGGTATATATCCAAACCAGGAGCAGACCAGTAGGGCTGATTGGTAGACAACCAAATCAGGAGGAAAATAGGAGGTCTGATGGGTAAATAACCCAAACAGGAGGAGAACAGGAGGGTTTGTGGGTATATAACTTAAGCAGAAGGAGAACAAGAGGGTTGACAGGTAGATAACCAAAATAGGAGGAGAACAGGAGCTCTGAGAGATACCCTTATTTCACCACTAACCTCAGTCCATGTTGTTCACACTAACCGTTGCTCTGATCCAAAGTACAGCCCCATACATGCGCTGTGCTCTACAAAAGAGCAAACTCTGCACTCTGCCAGTGGTTTACGAGGGAGTTAAAATGATTAATGGGTTCCAAAGCGATAAATGGAATAGGGAGAGCATGGTGGTTTTTGTGGCAGAGAAACACAGCCCTCATTGAAAGGGGACGTTAATCACACCTTGTGATGCAAGTACCAGGCATGACACTACTGTGTGGAAATCATTAGAAAATCCTGGAAGCTTTTATATTAGAATATAATTAATAAATAATAATAATAATAGATTTAATTTATAACGCACTTTACATTTAAAATAAATCTCAAAGTGCTTCATGTTTTGGTTTTGGTTATAGCGATAGCATCTATATCTGCATCTATATTTATTACACATATATTACACAGGTTTACACAACGACACAATGACCACATGTATCGGGTGCCATATAAGCAATTCTAGACCCTATTCAGCATTTGCCCCCCCCCCCCCCTCATAAAGCAAATTAATTGTTACCGACAGAGTCCCCCTAACAGAGTCAAATTCTAGAACCACCCGTGGAGTGATTTTTCCTGTATAATCTTACACCAATGGAAAATAAAGCCAAAGAACAGCGACACGCATCTGGGGATTTTGTTTACGATTAATTTTTAATGAGTAAACAGTACGAGTCCTGCGTTACGATGAAAGGCGGTCTGGCGTGGCTGCGGCTGATTTCCCGAAGATGTGACATTGCTCCCGACTGAGAATTATATCGCCTTTCCTATCTGGTTGTCACAGATCTGGGTCGTTGCGGCCCGATTCTGCATGCTGGGGCCACCTGCTGTCCAGGTGATTCTGAACACCCCCCCACCCCCATATTTCTCACCGATGATGTGCTAGCGTCGGGACTGTCTCATATTTACGCGGCTTCCATCACCAAGAGCTCACTTCTGCCTCAAACGTATAGCAAACAATTGTGGATGACGTATTAGCTAATCGTTAAATTAGCTAATATGAATTAGTCATAGTCCGTCACAACTCACGTGCACACACACACACACATACACATAGACAACGCTGATCTTTGGAATGCGTAAAGATACCACGACACCTAGCTACACGATTTTGGAGAGCAAACATGAGCACCTGGAGGTCATATGAGAAAAACATATAAACACAGAACAAGAGACGGGAATCAAACCTACAACCCTTGAAACCTACAGGGCTTAGATAACCCCCCAATCAGTGATATACCTAACAAAATTTAGGGATGTAGCTAATAATTTCACCTTGCCCCGTCCCGCCCCCTTTCGTCGTATAGTTATATAACGTCACATATTCAAGGCATAATTCCAAGTAAGTTCCACTAGGATGGAGGTATCAGGGGATACATAACATGTATATCATAGACACCCCTTCATTCATATTGCAGTGAATGAGTTTCATATTGGGAGATTTTGTTTGTATTTCATGACTGAATCATGAGCATTAAATAAAATTCACTCATACTAAACCCAGGGATCTATCCTTCACTCATGCAGGGTCCTCCTGAAAATGTGACCTTCTTTTCTGCCTTACATAAGCCATATTGAATGGTTATTAAATAAGATCAAATAAGTGAGGCGGACTACGACGGATACAGTTTCGTGCTGCATGTTATGCTGGGGTCAGCAGACATAACGCCGGGTGACAGCGTTTATGGGGAGTTCCGCGGCGGTATCGTTCAGGATCCGCAGGAACCCAGGATGAAAGCTGGAGTTTTCATCTCCGGCAGGCTTATGGCAGCGTGACGGTAAGACATGGCGTGTGCCGTGGGCCTGCCTGAGAAGGCGGTATTAGGAGCCCGTGCGCCGACCCGTTAACTTGCAAATTAATTCACTCAACACCCCCATGTGGCCACTTCTCACGGATCCCATCAAGACACCCAACGTTGCCTGAATTTCAGAAGACCAGTAGCAGCATACTCCCTCAAGGCTGTATGCAGGGGCGGAGCCAAATAGCACTGAAAACTGATTGGCCCCTGGAATGCGCCTTTCCATGTCACTCACTGATTCAAAATATATCATTGGCCAATGATAAGGCTGTCCTTCTGTATGATTTACGCCCCATCTTAAGACCCCTTAAAAACCCCAGAATCTCCCTGAATCCTGTCCGGGTTGCAGGTAAACAGCACTGTCCCATATGGCTTAATTTAATGCATGTTGTTTCCAAGGAATACATTAATACACATCTAATACCTGTACATTGGAGAGACATTTGGAATGTTGGGGATTTTATTATTTTAGTTTTTTTATGGATATGTCTTTTATATGTTTTAGGTAGGGACATTTCTGCTAGAATGACTGCCTTATGAAGTGTGAAATGAAAGTAAATGTAGGCCAACAGGGATGGCGTGCTGGTGCAGTGGCCAGGGTTCGAGGTTCCGCCAAGGTTCCATGTGCCTGGACTTCACATGTTCTCCGTGTTTCATTGTGGGGTTCCCTCTGGATACTCCAGCTTCCCATCATGGTTCAAAGACATGCTGAGGGTAATTGTTGGTGCCAAATTGCCTGTATGTGTGAGGGCGCCCTCTGGTGGCTTGGAGCCCCATCTTGGATTGTTCCCCACCTTGTGGGATAGGCTCCAGACCTCCTATGAGCCTGAATAGCTCACATTGCTGTTTGATGCAGCAACATATCCTGTTTCCAGTAATGACACACACACACACACACACACACACACACACACATACAGACTGATGGAATGGAAGAGGCCCAGTATGGCAGTTAGCTTGTTGCTTAAAGTACCTTCGTGTCATGAGCCCTGAGTGTTAAACATGAGGTGCTTTCAAAAGACTCGGCAAACTTAATGAAACTCCAGGGTGTTTCCTTAGACCACAGTTGTATTGCGAGTATGTGCTGCCACCTTCTGGCAACTGATAGTAATGCATAACATTTCCAAACCGGTGAGAAGTTTACAACTTCGTGTCGTGCTCTTTCCTTTCCTTTCTGATTATTATTATTAATTATTATTTTTATTCACAGCAAGAATAATCTTGTAATTTATTAGGTCGCCCTGCATGAAAAAAGGCACTAGTTCTGTGTTATTCCACCAAACATTGTACGCAATGAAAGGGTCCACCTTATGTAAGCAGGGCATCGCCCCCAAGCACTGAATTAGCTGCCCCCTGCTATGTCACGATGTCACATATGGGTTAAATGCAGAGGACACATTTCGTTGTTGTGTGCTGTGGTGTGTCAACAATGACCACTGATCTCTAAATTTGGCCAATTAGGGTTCCGTGACCATGTCTGGAAGGTTGTGGGTTCAAATCCCGTAACTGGCAAACATCACTGAGCCTGTGAGAGAGACCCTTAACGCTGACTACTGCAGGAACACAGACTAACCCAAAAAGGTCTGTTAAGTTTATGCAAGATAGCAGAAGAGACAAATTACAGCACCAATAACTACAGTGAAGCATATTAATGATTTACTGAAGGTTCAATATTAATCTATGAATATGTGAGGGAATACATTTAATTTTATTTTAAGCAAAAATCTACCCCTAGATGGCAGTATTGCAATGTCAGATTTGCATACAACAGAAATTACACTAAGTGGCCATTTTATTAGGTACACCTAGCTGGTGCCGAGTATGACCCACTTTTGCCTCCAGAACAACTTTAACAGTAAATGGGTTCAGTGTTCAGAGAAGCGATTCTACACACCACTGTTGCAATGAGCTGTTATTTTTGCACTTACGGCCTCCCTGTTAGTCGGCATCAACCAATCTGCCCATTCTGCTCTGACCTCTCCCATTACTGTGGTGTTTTCAGCCACTGAACTGCCCCTGATTGGATGTTTTTGATGTCATCAATCTCCATAAACTATAGGCAATGCATCGGGTGCAAGTGCCAGGAAAATGACTTTCTGAGATGCTGGATCCACCGTGCCCAGCACATCAATCACACCACAATCAAAAACACTTAGATCACACATCTTAACAATCGTAATGGTCAGACACGGTAACTGAATCTCTACCTTCCAAGTTTACTGATATGTGGTCATCTGTGCGGTAATCAGGTCATTAGGAGCTGGTCAACTAATAATGAAATAATGAAAAGCACGGAGAGCTACTTTGCCACTCATAACTGAAACCAACTTCCTGAAGTGATTCAAAATGCACCAAACATTTAAAACCAGGATTAAAACATTTTTATTCCACAGTGCACTGGAAATCAATGTTGATACTTTTTCTTTTACTCTAATTTTTGTGTTTTATTTAAAGCTTTTTAAATTATTTATTTTTTTACTTGTAGTCTTTAATTTTGCTTGAGCTTATTTCATGTGAGGCATTTTGAATGACTTCTGTTAGAAAATATTCTATATAAATACACTTGCCTCGCCTTACTCCTAGAGACTTACTGACAGACCATGAGACTGATCCAACGCTACAGAAAAGGAAGCGACAGGTGTAATGTTGTAGAAGATTGTGGGATCTGGGCCGAGAGCATCGTGTTCAGACAAGGCCTGCGGCACTCTGTACCTTTGCGATGTGACCTCACACATGACTTGATTCCTCTGATGAGGCAGCAGTTATGCAGAACCTTATTGCGGATCCGGTGGTTCTGGTGAAACTGCGGCAGGTCCTGCCGGCACTTCGGAAATCTCTTCACAGGGCAGGATACGCCCATTATCAAGCAGGTACCGGATCCCCGTCTGCCAACGTCACATGTCATTTGCCCAAACAAAATGGCCAAAATAAGGAATTAACCTTAAAAAAAATCACTTAAATTATAAATGTCTACCGTGAAATGCTTATACAGGCGGTTTTGCTAGTAATCACACACTGTGATTATGAGCATAATAGGAGTCATATACCACAATATATCACAACAAATGTTTAGTATTAAATCACTTTCAATAAAAGGGACACGACGCCCAAAAATCAGGTTAGACAAATCAGCTCCTGCTTAAGCGGCTCCTTAATAGACCTGATGTTTGTAGGTGCCATTGAGGATGTACAGGTCTATCCGGAATGTAAATCAGATCACGGAGCGAGTGGCTCACCTCGTGGTCTGTGAAAGGGGGGCATCGATACCTATGCCGGCTCGTCCAGGCTGACCTCTGTGCTGTCCTTCCTGGATGGAGGAGGCAGGAGTAGGAGGTGCAGAGGAGGAGGGAGCAGCAAGGAGATCCTTTTGCCCAGGAACCCCTGGCCAGCAGCAGACAACCTTGTGTGTCGGCTAAGGCCAATCCCTTCAGCCCGCTGATGGGGGGGCTGTTCTTCGTCATCATCACCAGCTTGTTCCCACCCCATTGTGTCCCTCGTCCATTCACCCCCCATCACTGCCTCCTTACATGGAGCTGTGGCAGGCTAAAATTAGAAGCAACCCCCCCCCCAATCTCTATCTTACCACTATTCAGCCAGATGCACTACCCAGTGTTGCACACAGGTGGCGACATTGCGTGTGACGGATAGTGACACGCCACAGTGGGCAGTCGCGCATCGCCTTCACCCAACTGCCTGTCCTGTTTAATTCAATCAAATTACGTCACTTTTGCCATTCATGTCTATTGGGCTTTTAATCTCAGATATCCACAATTATATTTCAGATATCCAGAATGTTCATTCTGGATATCTGCAATTGAATTCTTACTAAAAAAAAAACTCCCATTTCATTGTTACTAGTCATAATTTTAATTTCAGATATCCGAAAGGATACCACCATTTTATATATCCATAATGTAATTTCTGAAATGCTCTTTTTGACTAGTAAGAATACAATTTTGACTAGGAGAAAAACTATTGTGAATATCTAAAATGTAATTACGGATAGGAGTGTGACTTGATTAAATGTTAGAACGGCTTGCCATATGACCACATAAACTATTCAGTATAAAACTTGTTCATGCGTTATGGGAAAGTATTTCATTTTATTGTAGAGAACCACCCAGCCATGGTGTAGGAGGGCGCAATTAGCGGTGGGAAGTAAGAGGAATTGACCACAAGGTGGCGTTTCTGCACCCATACCAGTCACTCTGACAACACGCTTGCGATGCCCACTGTGCCGATCACCCTGCTTACTCCCAACATGCACGGTGGGCACACACACATGCTATGTACGACAATTGACACCTAACGCATGACATCACAATGCATGTCAATCACGAAAAACTATTTACATGGTTGGCACTTTTCCAATTTACCGCGCTGCCCCGCAGTACCTCAAGCGCTATAGTATTTCAGTACATCCTGTTCTTCATACATATGACGATCAATCTTGTCGGATGAGTTGACGGTGTCGGGGCGAGGCGCGGATAGCTGGACCGCCGATGGTCGAGAGACGCACGCATTTCCACCAGATCACACGCAGGGATCATGTCCGCCGAAGTGTCCCGTTAACGTTATGTAGAGCGCCGGAGTGGAGTATCTTCTCCGCCGAGTTTATAACTGTTCCAAGTTATACAGAGTTAATAGCCACCCATCAGCCAATCGGAAAAAAAGCATTGGTTGTTTCCGGGTAAATTCCAAAAGTGACATAAGGTGCTGCTTCAACGTGCGTTATTACAGATGCAGTGCAGAAGATGTGCAAGTGCAAGAGCAAGATCCTATGAGATCCTATGATTGCGGTAGACAGGACTTTATTAAAAATTTAATTAACCGTGAGTAACCCTGATATAATCTCACTCCATGCCAGTGTCTGACTTGTGACTTTACCGCATTTCCGTCTACTAACTGCTGATATGTTTCATATTTGCAGGGAACCTGATATCAGTCACACACATTACCTATGCTTTCTACTCAAGGACGGGGGGCCTGATGATTTAAGTGGTAAAGATTGGCTTTACTCACGGATCGTTACGTCTCCGCGAAACGGAAGCAGATATAACCAGTGATCATTCGGAGACAGAACAATAACTATAGAGAACGAGCGCCATTCTGTTCGACTAAGCCGGTATAACTTTATTCCTCTTCCCCAAATGTGATTTTTAAACTGATCTTATTTTTTACTTCCGAATGTCTGAATTGTGAAACTAACTTTGCCACAGTTCCGTCTTCCAAAGTGCTTAATTAAGTTATTACGTAACCTTTACAATAGAGTCCATTAAACTGTACATTTCCGGGCTGGATTCATTTATGAAATCGAAATTGAAATGAGGCAGATTTCCGGTGTTATGGGAGTTAAATGTTCATATCATGTGGATGTGAATATAAAATAAAAGGCTATACGGAAATACTAGTTGCGCGCAGTATAGAATAAGGAAAAGAGAGAAGAAAACTTAAGTATTGAGAGCAGTAAGTATCCATTGCAGAGAAATATTAACTATTAATACATAACCTATGTAAGTGTACAGCTCTGAGATCATGTAACTAACGAGAAGTGCTTTAGAACTGTATTAATATTATTAGGCTTTGATTTGCTAACTTGCGAAAAAGTTTTCACAGATTTCCTGTTTGTACTAATTGTTTAATTATAAAGAGCAGTCCGTCATTCCTATGGATTATTGCAATCATTGCGTGATTAACTGAGACGTAGCCTATTTAAATGGTCCTCCGTACTTGCGTAGTAAATAACGCGTTAATTATTTGGTTTAATTACAGAGATGTTATTTTTCCACAATAGTGAGCCCCGTGTCGGGTATTTCATTGGCGGACTGCGATACCCGGAAGCTGCTTTCTTTGCAGATATGATGCCGGAGCCCTGATCGTCTAAGCCATGGCGCACCGTTCCCATGAAGAGGTATGGCGATAACGGGCTGGCATGTAATACATGCTGTTAGGGCTGCAAATACCAGACTCCGCACAGCAGAAAAGCTGAAGTTCACACATGAACTATTTTTACCCAGAAGTTACTGAAAATAGCACAGAAAAAACTCACTTTCTGAGTGCACCTCCCTACTACAACAAATTTAAATGTAAACAGTGTATAGTAACAAAATAAAATGATATATATTCTTTATTGTCTTAAGGTGATATTTTAGCATGTGTTATTTTATGGTGTTAAGCCTGTTTTTAATGTGCTGTATTGGTTCTTAAACTGCAGTATTTTTTATTGCTGCCTACCCTGGACATGTGTCTCTTGCAAAAAGAGATTTTAAATCTCAGTAGGACCAACCTGGTTAAATATGGTTGAATAATGATATTTGATAAACACACAAGTGATTCTTATAGTAATAAAATACACACAGCAGGCGTCTCCAGCAGACACATAAGAATCCGAGCAGGAAAATTGACTTATGTTACCGGAAAGGTCAGTGTGTGTGTCTGAGTGACCGTGTTCAGGCTTCTGAGGTCTCATGAACTCGCCTCTTGTCCTCTTCACACTCAGGTCTCGCTCGCTGGCCTCTTGCTGGATTACCTGAAGGAGCTCAGTGATGGACAGCTGAAGGAGTTTAAATTTAGACTGAGTACCCCAGTATATAAAAAGTTAAAGCCCATTCCTTGGGGTCAGCTGGAGGACATTAAAGATGAACCGGACATCGCCTCCATAATGAGAAGTTTCTACAGTGAAGACAGTGCTCTCAAAGTCATGCTTGAAATCCTGGGGAAGATGAACCTGAATGACCTTGCTCAGAGACTGAATAAAGACCTGCAGTGGAGTAATCATATTTTTTTACCTTTTTGTGTTTCTCCAAAAATGTAACATTTTTTAAGCTTTTCAAAAAGAACATTGTATTATATAGCATGATAAGGAAATTATTTTGAAATTCTCTCTTTTTTTAAGGTAACGAGGCAGGAAGGGAGCTGGGTGACAGGACTACTGGCCCATGGTGTGTTCAGTATTTCTGTTCCATACTTATGTATAGGCACACACTGGGGACAAACATAAGAATCCAGATATTTATTCTTTGATTAGCATATTAAGTTTATGAAAGAGGACCCTTCTTGAGTCAGTATTTGAGGAAGTCAAAAACCCATTAACACGCTGTCTTCTTTGTACCTACACAGTGCCAGTGTGCAGATGGACGATGAGCTCCAATCTAAATGTGACATCCAGAGTGTGTATATGTATTTGTATATGTAAGAATATGTTTATACAACAATATATTTTGAGGAATTATATAATAACTTTGGGCCTTACATTTCAGAGAAGAAGTACTGCAAACTGAAGAAGTTTCAACGTACATGTCATGCCCCGCTCGTCCGCTCCTTCTGTGTACCACACCCCTTCATCTACCCCGTGTGGATTCCCTGTGTTTACCAGCTGTTTCTTGTTGTAGTGATTAGTCCTATGTATTTAAGTCTGCGTTAGGTATGTTTTCCCCAGTCTGGTCATTAATGTCCGTCATGTTTTTCTTTGATGGTCCTGTTTCGTCTCCCTTGTATTAAAACCCTTGTCTACCAGATTTCTCGGCTTATGTGCCGTTTCCTTGCTCTGTGCTCGAGTGAAACCATGACAGAATGACCGGATTTTTACGGACAATCAAGGACTACGCCGCCTTTCCTGGTCTCCATACCGGCTTACTTGCAGTATCCTCCCTGTGTATTGCCTCGCAACAGCTGTCGCTACATCTGTCAGAGAAGATGCGGTAAGAGAGATGGAGTCTATGTAAGATTGAGAACGTTCCTCGCTTCGTCCTCTCATGTTATTCATTATTCTCCATCACTTGGAATTTTATGTGAAGGGATCAGCTATTTCATTATCATATCCAAGATGGCAGCCAAGACAGTGCTCTGTGTGGATGTCAGCATTTGAAATCTGAGTTTTATGTTTTCTGTGTGGGTTATTTGTTATTTAAGCCTGAATGAGTGATTTTGTACAATACTAACATATTCCATGCAGTATTTGATATCTGGATGACTTACAGTACATTTCTTATTGGACTGAGTCATAACTTTAGGGTGACCCAGATAATCCATGGACACTTTGAGCTACTTCGGGTTTTGCAAATTACTTTCAAATTGAAATTTTGAAATTGAAATTGTGCTTGGCTAAATACAGGGTTCCCGCGGGCCGCGGGGTCTTAAAAAGTCTAAAATTCAAAAAGTTAAATTTAAGGCCTTAAAATGTCTTTAAAAATGCCCAGATTTTCATCCTAGGTCTTAAATTTAATTTACCCAAGTCTTAAAATTCTTGCCTCCGTTCATTCCCAAAAAGCGTTGTCCGCAGAAAATAAAATAGTAAATTGCTGTAAAACTAATCCGTTGGTTGTGTTTTCTGGTCTGCACCGGTGTCTGCGTGGTAATAAAACTACAAATCCCATCGCATGATCACTGCAGCTAGGCAAGCAAACAGTTTGAGAAGGGTCTGGCTGCAGAACGTGCACTTTCAGCCACTGACGTCAGGTGC